CAGCTCCTCCAACACCACTAGTCCCGGCAGCTCCAGTACCCCTAGTACGAGCACCGCAAGGACCAGCAGCTCCAGCACCTCCGGTACCACCAGCTCCAGCACTAACTCTAGCACTAACTCCAGCACCTCCAAGACGAGTAGTCCCAACACCTCCAGCTCCAGTGCCTCTAGCGGCAGAGCCTCCAGCTCCGGCAGATCCACTCCAAAGGCGTGTGCGCTGAGCAAACCACTCATGCAGCTGCTATGGGGAGAGAGGCTCCGGCCGGGGAGACAGTCGTGGCGAGGCACCCGCAGGACCTCCAGAAGAAGTAGTACCCCGAGGCTCAGCACCCCCAGAATCCGTACCCCCAGGCTCAGCACCCCCAGACTCCGCACCCTCAGACTCAGCACCCTCAAGCTCAGCACCCCCAGACTCCGCACCCTCAGACTCAGCACCCCCAGGCTCTGCACCCCCAGGCTCAGCACCCCTAGACCCAGCACCTGAGTCTACAGCGACCTCAACAGGCACAGTACCAGGGAGTGGGTCTACCTGAGACACACCTGAGGGAGCAGGACCCTGGAGGGGGAGGGGGTCTACCGGAGGGGGACCTGGAGCAAGGAAGAGCGGCGGGGGTGGGAGAGGGGCAGAGCGGTAGGGGAAGAGACGGTAAAAGGGAACCGACTCGTCAAACGTGACGTCCTGAGAGGGGAAGACACGACGTGAGGCGGGGTGGTAAAACTGCCAGCCAGGCGCGTCAAGGGGAAAGCCAAGGAAGATGCAGGGAATAGCGCGGGTGGAGAGCTTGTCCGCGGACGTATCGCGAACAAAGTCACGAGAACCCCAGACCCGGAACACCGACGCATCGCCAACCTTCCCCGTCCAACGCAGTGTAGGCGAGGTCTCTGGCAAGGAGACACGGGGCCAGAGGTTGAGCTGATGTGCAATGTAGCGGACCGCAAACGGCCACAGAAAATGGGGAGCAGCCGCATGGATCATGGAGGTACGAGCGACCTCCATGACTGAGCCAATGCGGCGCTTAGCAATCTCATTTTGCTGAGGGAAGGCCGGAAGCGTGAATGACTGGAGAATGCCCTCCCCATGACAAAAGTCCCACAAGAGGTCGGAGGAGAACTCACCACCTCTGTCAGTGTGCAGACACAGGACAGGAAGGTCCTGGCGGAAACGCTCGCGGAGCTGGAGACGGACTGTGCGGATCCAAGGGATCAAGACATCAGGGACTTCACCCTTGCTGCGGAAGGGGAAGACCGTGGTGTAAGACGTGTAGTCGTCAACAACCAGCAGAAAGTAGCGCTCGCGGCCCTGTCCACTCACGCGGGCCGGGCCCCACACGTCCATGTGGAGGGTCTGCAGGGGAGCAGTCGTCGGGGGAAACGAGGAGGAGTGAGGAGTGGCGCGCTGCCGCCCCTCGACGCAAGGAAGGCAGGGCGGGGCAGGCGAGGGCGGGAGGGGAGGCAAAGACCTGGGAAGACCAGAAACAAGGAGGCGGGAGTGCATGCCATGAAGACATTGCAGGGAGGGGTGACCAAGGCGGTGGTGCCATAGGAGAGTCTGGTGCGAGAGGAGGCGACACGAGCAGGGGGGTGCTACCGGACTTGACGCGGACACCTGGGCAGACGCAGCTAACTGAGGAGGCTCGGTAGCCAGTGTTTACAGACTCGACCCAGGCGGACGGGTGAACGTGGCCAGGTGACGGCCCGTCCGTGTACACGTGCAGATCGACACACGCTGACCCCCAGGAGTGGTGGTAGTGACCATCGCATCCTGGAGGGCAGCGGTACTCACCAAGTTCGTAGAGAACGAGGGGAGGTGAAGACCTGAGAGTGAGCCACACGGAACCGCCGGACACGGGAGAACAGTGGAGGAATGAGCAAGAACTGGGCCCCCTTAGGGGTCAGCCAGTCTGACCGGTACAGGTGCAAAGAGAGGAGTGAGGGTGGTGCTGTCGTGAAAGAAATAGCGGGAAGCACCTGAGTCAAGCGTAAAGGTGTGCAAGGCCTCAGCAGAAGCAGTACCAGGGAGAGCAGACTCACTAGCACCTAGAGTAGCAGCCTCTATACCTGGGTCAGGCAGCACACACAGGGAACAGTCACCCTCAGTACCAATAGTCAAAGCATACATGGCAGTGAGGATAGCGTCATAGTCTAGAGCAAAGATATCCACACCCTGCCTAAGCAGCTCTAGCCAGTGGGAAAGCTCAGCCACGTCGCCAAACTCTGCACGCCAGGTGTCGCTCAGACAGGAGAAGCAGCAGGACTGTGTGTGACCAACTTTCCCGCAAGTCTGACCAGCCCGATCACCTGTGCAAATGACGTACGGGCAGCGAGCACTACTCCGAGACGCCCCACGCTGAGCGTACCACTCACGAAGTTGCTGAGGCGTAAGGGTCTCTCGCGGACGCCGCCGCAGCTGCGCTAGTCCACCGCCAGAAGCTCCCAACTGAACAGCTGCACAGCGACTGCCACTACTGCCGCCGCCACCACTCCTACTAGCGTACCACTCATGTATCTGCTGGGGTGGAAGGGTCTCGCGCTGACGCCGCTGCAGCTGCATCTGGCCACTGCCAGAAACTCCCCACCAAATAGCTCCACAGCGACTGCTACTACGGCCGCCACCACTCCCACTGCTGTCACCACCGCCGTCACCACTCCCACCGCTACGACCAAGAGAAGCCATAGCGGGCAAGCAAGGAGGCGCGCGACCAGTAGGGCAGCACGGAGGGAAGGGCGACGCGCGGCCAGAGCAGAGGCGACGCACGGAAAGGCAAGACGGCGCGTGGGGCTGCAAAGGGGCAGCGCGCGGACTGCAAGGGTGGCGAGCGGGCCGCAAGGGGCGGCGAGCGGGCTGCAAGGGGCGGCACGCAGACTGCAAGAGGCGGCTAGCGGGCTGCAATGGGCGGCGCGCGGGCCGCAAGAGGGCGGCGAGCGGGCTGCAGGGGCGGTGAGCGGGCCGCAGGCAAGCGGCGAGCGGGCAGCAAGGGGCGGCGAGCGGGCGGCAGGGGCGGCTTAGCGGGCCGCGAGCAAGCGGCGAGTGGGTCGCACGGGCTGCTAGTGGGCCTAGGGGCAGCTGGCGGGCCGCAAGCTGGCGACGCGCAAGCTGCAGGAGCGGCGGGCGGGCCGTAAGCGGGCGACGAGCGGGCCTAGGGGCAGCGGGCGGGCGACGTGCGGGCTGCAGGGGCGGCGGGCGGGCCGTAAGCGGGCGGGCCGTAAGCGGGCGACGAGCGGGCCTAGGGGTTGCGGGCGGGCCGCAAGCGAGCGACGCGCGGGCTGCAGGGGCGGCGGGAGGGCCGTGAGCAGGTGGCGATCGGGCTGCAGGTGCAGCGCGCTAGCTGCAAGGGCGGCTCGTGGGCTGCTGAGGGCGGCGTGACGAGCTGCTAGGGGCGGTGCCGCGTCCAGAAGGGCGGCGCATCAGTAGGGTAGGGCGGCAGGGCAGCTAGTGGGGCAGCTCTGTGGTGGGCCCTAAAAAAAACTTCGGTCCTAGCGAAGGACCTGCTCTGAAACCATGTCAGAATAACGAACGAGAATGAATGAACTATGAAAGAGTTGGGTACAAGTGGTAACCCTAATTGGGTTGTACCCCTTATGGGCTACCCCACTATAGCCTACACAAGTAAGCAATATAACATTCTGACACGTCTGCCACCCCCTCACCCTCCCCCCACAGCAGCAGGCGTAGCCGTGAGAGAGGAGGAGGCGTGGCGGCAGCTGCTGCTGCTGAAACACATCCGCCACCCCCTCACACCCTCTCCCCCCCTCCCCCCCCCCAAACTGCTGCACGCGCAGCAGGGAGATGAAGGAGAAGGAGGGGGGGGCGGGGTATGAGCTGCGCGTGCGACTGCAGGGCGCGCGGGCAGGCAAAAACCGTCGCGCAGCCGGGGCGCGCATCGGGCAGAAACCGACGCGCAGCCGGGGCGCGACGGGCAGAAACCGACGCTCGCCCTGGGCGCGCGACGGGCAGCTTGACGGACTGCGCCATAGCGGAAGATGAAGGCTCTAGGAACGAGCCTGCTCTGAATACCATGTCAAATTAGGCTCATAACTCACTGCTTAGTTACCTAGGGTTTTGGCTAGGAAACGTGAGTATGGAGAGGAAGGTTTGGCAAAAGAGGATGATTGATTAGAAAGGAAGGTACAAGTAGGAGAAAGGGTGGGCAAGATGGTGCACCACCAACAATAGCAGTAACACTACATAGTAGCTACACTAGCAAGCAGTTATAAGAAATTTACAATTTCTAACACCTACCAATCACTATCATTCAGGTATGTTAATGTTTCAACACAACACAACACCCAAACCATACAATACAAGTGCATGTTAATCAATCCATAGTATACCTAACAACCACCAGCCCCACTCTTCCCTCCCACTAACCTGACCACACCCCCTCCCCTCCCCCCCCCTCCCCTCCCCTCCCCTGCAACACCCCCCACCCCTTCCCTCTACTCACTCCCACCCACCCATCCCATCTAATCTAGGCCCATCCTTTACCGTCTTCTCTCTTCGCAACCTCTTCTGCAACGCATGTCCCTGCACTGCATGCAATAGTGGTTTAGAGCACACCAAAGCGGTTAGGTTCGGTACCAAGGGCAAAAGCGCCCATCACCTGCTCTCCATCCTCTTAGGGCATGTTCATACGGCCCCTTATCAGGCCAACCTCTTATCAAGCTCGCGTCAAAACACTTCCTTAAACCCAAAATCCCTCGCTACTTTTACCAGGCAAGGCTGACAAGAGGTTTGCCTGATAAGAGCGTAGGAACATGCCCTTAAGCACCTCCCAACTCAGCTTCAGCAACTCCCTCCTCCTTCCGCCTCCTCTTCCTCCTTCCTCTTCTTCCACTTCCTCTTCCTCGAATTCTTCTTCTCGTCTTCTTCCTCCTCCTCTTCCTCCTCCTTCTCTTCCTCCTCCTTCTCGTCCTCCCATTCGTTCTCACCACGAAAGCTTCTATCCCCTCTGCCTCTGCTTCCCTACCAATTTAACCCTCTCTCGCCTCTCCCTCACCTCTCACCTCGTCCGCACCTCCTCCCCATCCTCCTCCTCCTCTATCTCCCCAGACGTCACCTCCCCCTCCCAATCCGCCCGTGCACTGAACCACCCCCGCCTCTTCCCACTCGTCGCCTCATCCTCGCCATAAGCAGCCCCGCTACCGTACTCCCCGCTCATGCTCTCACTCACAGCAGCCAGCGTTACTGATGCCGCTGCTGCACTCAAGCTCTGACTCTGGCTCTGGCTCTGGCTGTTCTCACACTCGTATGAGTCACCCCGATCACCATCACCATCCTCCTCGTCCTCCTCCTCATCCCCATCCTCATCAGTATCTTCTTCATCATCATCATTATCACTTTCCTCCTCCCCCTCCTCCTCGTCCTCTTCCTCCTCCTCTTCCTCTGAATCCAGGTGTAGCATCGGCATGGCGGTGGTACCCGCGACAAGCAGTGGGGAAGCATCAGCAGCATCAACAACCCCAGGGCTTCGCTGCTTGAACGACAGCTCGAAAACGACCTCATCACCAGGCGCGTCCCCTGTCAGCCTGCAGTCCTTGCCAGGCATGCTCCCTTCCGCTGCAGCAGCTCCAGCAGCAGTACCAGCACAAGCAGCAGCGCCACCGGTAGTACCACCACCAGCAACACAACCAGCAGCACCAAGAGCAACAAGCTCTCCCTGGAAGTCCATCCGAAGCATCTCCAATGCCGTGGCCACCTGGGCCACTGACGGGTCGACTGTCGCTTCATCCGTGCCCGCCTTGCCATTTTCCTCACCGCCATTACCAGCAGCACCAGCAGCACCAGCAGCACCCAGGGCGACGAGTTCTCCCTGCAGGTCCAGCCGGAGCATCTCCACAGCGGTGGCCACCTGGGCCATGGACGGGCGTGCAGCAGGGGCAGGCAGCACACACCGCAGTGCCAGCTCCACCACTCCACTCACCGCTGCCACACACGCTGCTTCCACCGCTGCACTCACCAACCCCGCTGCTGCTCCTTGCTCCGCTGCCCCCTTCTTCGCTGCTCCTGCTGCTGCTCCTTCCTTAACGTGTCCCGCTGCTGTTGTTTCTCTTCCAGATTTCCCTGTGACAACTGGAGATTTCCAGGACCACGCAAAGAGCTTGCTTGCAGCGGCGGAACCCGCGCTGCTGCGTCTGCTGCTCTGAGTAACCCTTGAGCATGAGCTGGCCGCGGTTGCTTCAGATTCGCCCTCCTCCCCCTCGTCCAGGGTGCTTCTGGTGAAGGTAGAATCTGTGCTGGCGCCAGCAGCACCAGAAACAGCTGTCGTGGCGGTGCTTGTACTAGCACAGGACACCAACCCACTCACCTCGCTCTCTTCCCTACACACCACCCGGCCACTGCCGCTGATCTCTGGTTCAGCCCAGAGGCCCAACTCCGGGTCTACAATCACACGTGGATCTCCCTCCACTAAAAGCATCTGCACCCATGTGACTATATGGAGGGGCGGGTAGCGCTGGTGGTGCGGGGGAGAAGAGCGGGAGGAGCAGCGGAGGGATGGTGAGGGAAGGGGCATGGGCGTGGGTATGGGTTGGTGTGTGGGAGAGGCAGGGTGGGCGAGGGGTGATTTGTCCAAGGGAAGGGACCAGAGGGACAGCTTGCTGCCTGTCTCCTCCTCCTCACTCTCTCCCTCACTCACTCCCTCACTCCCTCCCTCACTCTCCGACTCACGCCCCTCCTCAGCAGCCCCTTCCCTTGGGTGTCGCCCCCTTATCCCTCCTGCTCCCCCTGCTCCCGCTGCCTCCTCCCTTCCTCCTGCACCCTTAGCTGCAGCAGCAGCAGCGAGAGCAGCGAGGCGCAGGTCTCTCTGCCCTCGCACAACGGGTCGCCTACCAGTCACCAGCTCGAGCAGCAGCACGCCCATGCTGAACACGTCACCTGCCACCGTGGCAGCCACGTGGGGCTCCAGGCACGGGGATAGGGACGCGCTCTGCAGCTGCTGCTGCTGCTGCTGCCACGTGTCTGCGTATGCTGCGCCGTCGCTAGATGTATCGAATACCACCTCGCGCTGACTCCTTCCCCTCTCCCTCTCCCTCTGCTGCTGCCGCTGCCGCTGCTGGTGCTGGTTCTGATGATGATTATTGTGCGCTTTCTCCGCCTCTTCCTCCTCTTCCTCCTCTTTCCCCCATTCCAACTGCCGCCTTTCCCAGTCCCCTTCTCCCCTCACCGCGCACGCCCCGCCACCCACCGACTGCACCAGCAGCGCGCGCAGGTGCTCCCCCCCGATCACCCGCGCGCGCCCCTCCCCGTCCACGATCACGTTCTCCGCGGACACCGCGCCGTGGGCGCGCGGGGGCAGCAACAGCAGGCGGGAATACAGGCGCTCCTTGCGCCGAGGGGGCTCGTGCGCCTGCAGTTGCGCGTGCAGGTGCTGCAGCGCGCTCGTCACGTCCGCGGCTACCTGCAGGCGATGGGGGAGCGACAGGGGCGCTGCTGCGCGCGCTACTCTCCGCGCAGCAGGGTCGGGGCAGTGCAGCGCCGCGGAAAGCGCTTCCCCTTCCGCCATCTCCAGCACGAGTATCCTTTCCGCGCATTCGCGGCAGAACGCCACCACACGCGCAAGGCGCGGGTGCGCCATGCGCCCCAGCGCCATGGCGGCTTCCGCGAACGCATCCGCCGTCATTGATACCACTGCTTCTGGGGACGTCGCTACTGCTATCGCTCCTCCTCTTCCCCTTCCTCCTCCTCCTGCTCCTCCTGCTCCTCCTCCTGCTGCTGCTGCTGCGGCAGATGCCAGCGCATCTGCTACCTTCTCCCCTGTTCCATCCCTTCCCCGCTCCCCCTCTCTCTCCTCATCCCCCTCTGACGACCGTCCACTTCCCGAGCCTCCAGGGGAGGTTGGGGAGGGGGACAACAGGGAGAGCTTGGCACGCTTCACAGCCCATACCTGCCCCGAGGCTGGGCAGCAGGCTCGGTAGACGGCTACGGAGCGCCTCTCGTGGAGAATGCGAGCCTGTGCGAAGTTGTCCGTCATCGCCAGCACCTCCTTGAGACTCATTTCGCGAACGCCCGCCCATTTCGCCACTGCTGTGGTAACCTCCTGTTGGCGAAGAGCGCCTCCCGCAGCTGCACCAGTGCACTTGGCGCTGCTGCCTCTCCCTGCGCCCACTTCATGCTTGCCTTGCTCATTGTCCTCGTTATAACAACACTCGCTCTTTGCCTCCGGCCCATTCAATCCATCTCTCTCCTCAACGCTAGATTCCACTCCCTCCCTGTTACTCCAGGTCCTCCCTTCACTCGTTCCCTCTTCCCCCTTTTCATGCTCATCGCTATTCCCTTCCGCCCTCCCCTTCTCACCCCCTTCCTCGCGCTCCTCACTCTTCTCACTCCCCTTCTCACTTCCTTTACCACTCTCCTTCGAACCCTCCTTTGCATTCGCCCGCCCTCGCCACCACGAGCCGAACCCAGTCCACCCACCTGCCGAACGCACCTCGCCGCCATTACTCTCCTCTCTCTCCGCTCTCACCGCTCGCTCTGCCCTCGCCTCTTTCGCCGCTGCAGTCGCATTAGCAACAGTAGCACCAACAACAACAGCAGCACACGCAGCACCCGCAGCGGCAGCTGCAGCAGCAGAAGCTGTTTCTACCTTCTGTTCCCCTTCCTTCACTCGTCCGCCCGCGCTTGCCTCACTCAGCTCCTCCTCCATTCCCTCATCCACCGCAGTCAACCGTTCCAATTCCTCGTTCGACGCTTCACCCACCCCAATCACCTCATCCCCTCTCTCTACACCCATCTCACCCTCACCATCACCACCCACTCCTTCTCCGCTTTTCCAGCCGCGGCTCGCATCAGCGTCAGCCACGCGGCTGGTGGGCAAGCTAAGTCGACCCACACTCGCCCACGCCGCCGCAGCAACCCCCGCAATTGCCGCGTGCGCTCCCACCATCCACCCGCCATTTCCTGCAGCTGCCGCTGCTGCACCCTGTTGCTGCGACGCTGTATGACCCTCCTCCGCGTCCCCTCCCGTCGCTCCTCCCTGCATTCGTGCCGACTTCCCGGCTGAAAAGGAGCCAAAACCAGACCTCCCACTGCTGATGCTGCTGCCGCCCTTGCGATCAAGTGCAGCCGCAGCAGCGGCGGCAGCAGCCGTGGCTGGTGAATCAGCGGCAGCAGTAGCAGGAGGAGATGAGGTTACATGGAGGAGGGATAGATCCGGCGTATGGCACGTGGACATGAGGAAAGACGGCTCCTCTTTTTCTTCCTCCTCCTCCTCCCTCTCCTCCCTCTCCTCCCTCTCATCCCTTTCCTCTGTCCCCTCCGACTCTCCCTTCTCTTCCTCTTCCCCTGCTAACAAATCTTCTATTTCCACCACTTCTACTACTTCCACTCTCCCCTGCCATGCCTCCCCCGTACCTCCCCCGCCCACAGCCCCCGCTTCGGGATCCTCCCACACCGCGCCGAGCTGCGGATCCAGGTTCGGCACCGTCTGCCACGCCACGTCGGTTCTGTGCGCGCCGGCCTGGCTCACGCTGGCACGTGGCGAGCACACGCGCACGCGGCCTTTGAGGGAGTTGCTACTGGAAGCGGACGAAGCCGCGGCGATCCTCCCGCGGGGAAGGAGAGCCGCGAGCCAAGCAGACGAAGCAGCGAACCAACCCCAGCGCTCCCGCAATTGCTCGCTCCGCTCCTCGCGCTCCCCGCCCTCTCCGCGCTTCTCCGAGGCTGCCCCTTTTTCCGTCGCGCCACAGCAGCTAGAACCCGCCAAGGCTGCTGCATTTCCACTCTCCTCGTCTCCATCATACTCCTTGTCTTCCAGTTTTTTCACAAGCTGTGGATCCGCAGCACCGCCAGCAGCGGCGGCAGCGGCGGCGGCGGCGGCGGCGGTATTTTTGCGGCCTATGAAATAAAGACGCACTATAACCACCATGGCCGCAATTAGCAGCAATCCGCAGAAGCAAAAACCCGCAAGAATGGCGATCGAAGCGTTTTTAGACAGCCCGTTGATGCTGAACGACGACTCCTCGCTGCTGCTGCCGCCGGTACTGTCGACGGTGCTGCCGCTGCTGCTGTTGCTACTGCCAGAGCTCGAGGTACCATTATCAACCCCCGTGCTTCCCGCATTCCCCCCGTTCCCTCCGCTCCCTCCGCTTTGCCCTCCGCCATCCCCGTTTTGCTCTCCGCCTCCCGCTGCCCCCGCGCCCGGGCTCCCCGCTTGACCCTTGTCGCCCATCCACCAAGCGGGTGGTTCCTCCTGCGCACTGCTGCTGCTGTTCCCGCCTTCCGCCCCGGGCAGCTGCGGAAAGAACGCCGGATTAGACGGTGCGGAACCCGGCGAGGGCGCCGCGAGGGAGGAGTTATCGCCGGGGACGTGCCCGCGCCACCATTCGACCCCTTCCACACGGTCGCCATTCTCTGTGTAATAAGGCGGCGCGGTGACATCTCCGGTGGGGTATGGGATGTTGCCGCCGTGCATTGCGAGAGGCATGAGCGCGTTTCCGCGACTGCTGCTCTGCGAACTGTTGTCTGCGACCGTTACAGCGGTTGGTAACAGCTGCGAAGGATCGTACCCAACAGGTCCGCCCGATGTTGGGAAGTCTGCGTAGTCGTACGGATCATCGTAACTGTACGGATCGACGTGACCGTACGAATCAACTTCTTGAAGCCCGCGCCATTGTAACGAGTGCAACGATCCTAGGGAGTCTAGAGAGGCCCAGGCGGGGCTGCGATCGGGGCCGTTGATCCGATCACGATCGTCGCGGGCGAACCCGAGCGATTTGCGCGACTCCGTCGCCTGATGCGACGAGTCTGTCGCCGCGGCAACGAGGGCGACGAGGAAGGGAAGGAGCGCGACTTGAAACGAAGCCCATCGAATCCAGAGTTTATGGGAGCGGGCTTGAAGGCGTGACGATCTGGAGAAGCGAGGGAGTGTAGTTAACGGTTGGCGTAGGCGGGCCCCCGATGCGCGGGGGGAAGAGGAGCCAACGGTTGGCCCTCTCATCGGAAACCAGAAACTGTGAAAAGGGTTAATAGTAGTGTAATACTAGACGGTGAGTCTATTTCCTGGGCTTCGAATGTACAAAATGAGGCGATGAATCTACGCCGAGGTAATATGGAGATGTGAAAGTGAAAAGAAGGAGATGAATGGTCATGGAAAATCAGGGAAAATTAGGGAAAAACTGATTGTGCTTGAGAGCGTGACACTTGCCACGATTGGCTTTGCCTTGTTCGTCGTTAGCATTGCGGAGCTTTGGAAAAAGGAGAAGTGAAGGCGTGCAGGCCAACGGGGCGAGGCATGAGATAATACTTGACCAGGAAACTGATTTCTTTTCGCGCGGTAAGCTGTCCTGCCACGGAGACAGCAACTCCAGAACCCAGAAACAGCAACAGGAGCAGACTCAGAGCTCGACGGAGTAAAAAATGGTTGGTGGATGAGGTCGTGCGGGGTATTATGCAAGTCTCCATCGCAGGAGCATCAGCACAATCACAGCAGGCAAGGTAAGTAGAGCGGATTAAACGCTTTAGTGAGCCAATGAAATCGTTTTGGTCTGGTCATGCCTGAGTATGTGGAGCTGCTGTGTCGTGTCGTGTGTGATACCGCGCGCATACACAGAGAGACAGACAGAGGACTGGGAAGGACGCGTCCCCTCCCGATCTGAACATCCCAGTCCTTACCTGATTTGCCAGAATGCACCGCTCCCAGATTCTGACTGCCTTGTGAATGTCGGAAAATGTGGCGCACATTACGAATCGCGTAGCTCCCCGCCATCGCGGCGCGGACTCCCAAACCACCCGAACACAAGCCTGCAGGCTGGATTTTTGCCAGACGCGCTAACGAATCAGGGGAGCAGATAGGGGTTTGGCGTTCGCCATTGGCTAGAAGGGGCTCTGTTCTGCTCCAGCGTCAGTGTTCTCGTTTTGCACTACACCAACTCGATTCAGTGTGCATTTAAAACAAGACTGCAAAACCAAACAGAGAATCAATAGAAACAAAATTATGCCTAATCAGGAACGTATTCCTCCTCCCCATTCCATGCAAACTCCGAACCAAGTGCCATTAATGCCTACTCGATGAAAATATGCATATGTCAAGAGTATTTGTAGTAGGATCAATATCTTGAGGGGCAACAAAACAACTGTACATTGCTGATTCCTGGTGGCTGGCCCACGGGTATTGTGCTGATATGCTTGTGACTGCACTTCACTTCCGGATTCCGAACAAAGATCCCGAACTGCCCCAGCAGGGGCGGACAAACAGATGCATGTGCTGGTAAATGTACGCTGGATTAATGCAGGTCGTCCAGTGCAACTTATGTCAGGGGCAAGCATGAGCAGGCTAGTGTTTTCAAGTGTCAATTAATGTCAAGAAAGCGCATTGCCAAGGCTATGGCTTTCAAGGGCATAGGTAACAAAGGCAGCACACATGCCCGCACGCAACATGCTGCCCCTAAAGCCTCCAAATATACTAACTTCTAAGCCTAGAAAGAGTACAGAGTAGAGGGAGAGAAAGGGAACCAGAGAGGAGCGAGTAACCTTAAACGCTAACTTAGAACCAAATAACCCGTGGTCCACGAGGGGGGAGACCAGCACCTCGTAGTACCGAATTCCGCCCGGTGCACGGACCGGATTGGGGGGGAGGCGTTGGAAAGTGGGGGGGAGGAGGGGGGAAGGCGGAGGTGGGGTTGAGGGATCGGAGTTGTCAGTACGGGTCAAACGGGTGATGCCGATGGGGAGATCAGCCGCGTCGTAAACGCACGAGCCTCGACGTCTCTCCAAGTGAGGCGCCTCTCTCCCTGAGTCTCTCGGTCATCAGGCTGTTCGGATAGACGACGGCGAGCCGGGGCCTTCCTCCTCGTCCTCTATCATCACAGCCTTGCCCTTGTGCTGGGCGCCGGACGGCACGACGCGCCCGATGAGACACATGCGCCACACGAGGAGCGACCCGAGGATGAGCAGGATGCCGCCCAGACAGCACGCCACGACGATCGCGATCGACGCTCCCTCGGGAAGGCCGTTGATGCTGAACCCGCTGCTGCCGCTGCTGCTGCTGCTGCTGCTGCCGCTAGGGGGGCTGCTGCTGCCAGACGTCCCCTGCTCCTGCTTCTGCTGGTTCTCGCCGGCCGAGCTACCACCGTCACCGTCACTGTGACCTTCGTGATCTCCGTCGCCGGCGCTCGGAGGAGAGGACGAAGGCGGCGCGGCGGTGCCATTTCCAGAGTTGTTGCGCCACCACACGCCACCCCCCCCTTGAATGCCTTCCACGCCGCGGCTCGCGTCCGTGTCGTTGTCGCTCGTCGTCGGCGGGGACGGGTCTTTCGTCGGGTACGGCACCCGGCCGCCGTGCGTGCCGAGCGGAAGAAGACCGTTGGCGCGGCTGTCGCTCACGTCGGTGTCGGTATTGCCATCAGGGTTCTCGTCTGTAATGCCCTTGATGACCAGAGCGGAACCGTCGTCGGGCGCGTCGTCGGTGGGAAAGTCCTTGTAGTCGTAGAGGTCGGCGTACGGGTCGTCGCCGTCGTCGAGGAACCGTCGCTGCGGGAGTGTGCGACGCTGTGCGGCGGTTGCGACGCTATCTTGGAAAGCCAGACATGGTAGAACCTGGGCGACGAGGAACGCGCAGACGAGGACGGAGAGGAGCTTAGTGGGTATCATGGCTGTTTACTGGGAATCAGTGTCTCTGTTTTGGTGAGAAACAACAATAAGGCGTTCCGTTTGCTGTTCAAACCGAGTTGAGGCGCAGAGAGGGGGCTGGCTTTGAGCTGTTCAAAACGGAAGGCAAAACTACCGCTCGTATAATGCTCCGATGAAGAGAGTAAGCGGATTAGACTGGTGTGTGAGCAGGCAATGGAATTTGAGCTCTACAGGACATACAGGAGGTACTGTGTGCCTCTGTCGGCGGTCACAGGCGCCTCGGGACACAGGTCTGTGCAGAAGACTTGGGTGGGAGCGACTGTGCAGAGAAGGTTGCAGACGAGCACAAAAGGTGTGCGCGGAAAGAAAGAGCTGGCTGGCATTGGTGTGTAGGCGAGTCAAGAAGAGATTTTGGTGAACGGGTTACGAGGAGACGAGACGCGACGACGACTGCGCGACGAACGAAAAGTCGAAATTTGTCATCACTTTTTGACCAGGCCTGGCCGGGGGCAGGTGCGCTGAAAGGAGGGAAGGAGATTTCTGCCAGAATTTGTTGCGCTGTTGTGAAAGAGGACGGGGCGCTATATGAGCGGCGCGAAAATTTGGCAGAGGGAAATCTCTGACACACGCGGTTCGGAGATGCCCACAGCACCGCTTCTCCCAACAAAAAGGTGAAATTCTCCCAACAACCGCCTCGTCCAGTGAACAAGCCTGTTCCGATAACCGATGAGCATATTATCTTCTCAGAGCGGTGTACTTTCCCCCTACCATATCTCAGAGATTGCTTTGCATCAAATGCTGCATCATTCACAACCAATTTTTACTTGTAAATGACTGCATCCTGAATCTCATATACGAGAAGATAAAGTTACTAGTTCGACATCCAAGACGTACAGTGCAGGGAAAATCGATATAGCAAAACATAGCACGACGAGGATCCAATATATCTGATGCGATCTCAAATTAACTGCGGGGAGCAATTCCCTGACCACACATCGTCCCACAGGAAGCAAACATTACGACAGAACTAGAAAGGCTGGATGGGGGCGAGCATGGAACTTTCAACAGGTAAAACCCCTGAGCAACTTTCGAAATAACCCACGCCACCGCCAACAGCAACTTCCACATGATTGCTCAGACGATTATATTTCCAGAAGCAATCCACGGGAAGATATCGGCGAGATCCCTCCGGAAACCCGATTTTGCCCCTGCGGGTTTTCCCTGGAGGGATTTCCGTTTTCCCGCAGTCGCCTAGCGAAACACGCGAGGGGCAAGAGCCGACCCCCCCGCCCAAAAACGGGCACCCCCAGCTGGCGCCAGCTGCCAGCGGTCCCCCCCAACGAAACCGAACCCCACCCTCGGTTCGTAGACGGGTTCCGTCCGGTAACCTACGGAACCCTCGCCGGGGGTCGCCTCGCCGACGGAACCCGTCCGCGAATTCTCGCGAGCAGACGGAAGCGACGCTCATTTGTGTCGCGCTCCACCGCTCTCGCCCTCGACAGGGCCCGTTTCGGTTGGCGCTCGACCCTGGTGATGTGTCAAACGCCCCCTCCCGCTCCTTGAGAGGGGCCTTTCACCTGCATGCAGGGCGCCCCACCTCATGCAACCAGCCACCAATAGGGCCCCGCCGCCCTCTGCCATACGCTCCTCCTACCGCCGTCGCGGAACGCGCCCTGCCTTGTCGCCCTTGCACCCGAGTCTGTTTCGGTGGAGGGGATGGCAAACAGCTAATACCCTGAGTGCGTTCTCATTTTGTTGCAGTCTCCAAGTTATTCTTCCCTACTCCCTAGTTCCCAACTTCCCTGCGCTCCCGCCCTCCCTACTGCTAGGCCTGTCATGGCTACGGGCCCCGCCTCCCTACCCGTCGTGAACGAGCCGACGGTTCGACGCGGCCTCATCCTAACCGCATGCGGGATCGATGTGGAGGTGTTCGAAGACCAGTTGAATGCGCTTAGCGAGGCGCTGAAGGCGGAGCTCGATGAGATGACGATGAACGCGGGAGTTGTGTACGTTTCCTGTCAAGCATTTTCGGTTTGCCATGTTTACCTGTCACTGACTGTGCCTTAGCTTTCCGTGCAGCCTATTTTCGAGGGAGCTGCTGTCCGTCGAGCAGCTTGCCAAGCTGTCGATCGTGACTTCGACGCGTGCGCATGAAGAGATGACGCGTTCCACTATCAAGAGAATGAACGGGAATGAATGAACTAGCAAAGAGTTGGGTACAAGTACTAACCCTAATTGGGTTGTACCCCTTATGGGCTACCCCACTATAGCCTACACAATATAAGCTATATATAAGTTTGACACACCCCCATAGGCAAAGTGGGGGAGAACAAGTGGTCACAAGACCAGTCAAGAAAAGCAAAGCAAGCTCAAGGTGGATCACAAAGTCACCACACAGTCCGAGCACAAGCAAAGGGCCACAAGGCCAGTTCAAATGCAGATTTATATAAAAGAGAAGAAACAATACAGTGATCATACCCTAGCAAGTGCAAGCATGCAGGTATATATTGAGATCACAGTACAAGCAAAGTCACGCAATAAGCAAGTGAGGCACAGTAGGCACAAGGCCTAACATAGTAGAGAAGCGCTGATGATCACCAGGCGGAAGTGCCTTGGTGAATATATCAGCAGTGTTGGCCCTAGTGGCCACGTACGCAAGACGAAGCTGGCCACGCTGCTGCAAATCTTGAGCAAGGAAGTATCGCAGAGCGATGTGCTTCGTTCTGTGCTCCAGTCTGTGCTCCTGACACAAGGCAATCATGGCCTTGTTGTCTACGTACAGAACTGGAGGCGAACGAGGCTGCTCTCCCAAGTCAGTCAGTAGGTAGGTGAGCTAGCGTAGCTCCTGTGCAGCCATGGCCCCTGCGTAGATCTCAGCCTCACAACTAAAACTCAGAACCGAAGATTAGCGAGTATACCGTAAGGAAACCGAGCCGGAACCAAGGCTGAAGGTGTAACCCTGTGACGACCGCTGCATAGCTGAGTCGTCAACCCAAGAAGCGTCTGCGTGACCAGTGAGGACAACTGGACCCCATCCTCCAAGCACGAGCCCCATGCCGGACGTACTGCACAGGTAACGCAGTACCCACTTCGCAGCATCCCAGTGCACCTTTTGATTCCTACCGGGAGCCATGTAGCGAGCAAGAAGGCTGAGAGGGTACGCGAGGACAGGTCGTGTGCACGTCATCAGGTACATGAGGCAACCCACAAGCTCTGGGTATGGACCACTCGGCTCTACGGACTCATCCGAAGGTGGAGCTGAGAGCGAGTGGCTGGTAGACAGAGGAGTGGGCTGTGGCGAGGAGAACTGGAAGCCGAAGCGCTGAAGGACCTGGTGCACCATGTGTGACTGAGTCGGGGTGATGGTGCGCCGTGCTCTGTCCTGGGTGATCTGCAAGCCAAGATAGCTGCGCAGTTCACCCATGTCAGTGCAGGTGTGTCTCTTCTGCAGCTCCGACTTCACAAGGGTCAGTGCCTCAGTGTCAGCAGTGGCAAAGACGAGGTCGTCGACGTACACGAGGACGTAGAACGGCGGCAGCGAGGTGTCGGTGCGTAGAAACAGCGACGGGTCAGTAGTCGAAGGAGCTAACCCAAGAGCCGCAAGTGTAGTCCTCAGTGTGTCGTGCCACTCATGAGGCGCCTGGCGGAGACCGTAGACTGGCCGACGGAGGCTCCAGTGGGTACCTGCAGGAAACGACCCAGTGAAGCAAGGTGAGCGGCACAGCCAGATCTCTTCGTGCAGGCTGCCTGCAGGAAAGGTATGCTGAAGTCCAGAGAGTGCAACTCGTAGTCACGCTGAGCAGCGACGTGCAGCAACACCCAAAGAGTAGTCATCTTCGGGGTGGGGGAGAAGATCTGGAAGTAGTCAACTGCCTGTCGCTGACTGAAGCCTCGAGCAACGTAACGCGCCTTGAAGGCAGGTGGAGAACCAGGCGGCCGCTTCACCCTGAAAATCCACATGCCATCGACTATGTTCGCTCCAAGTGGGGGAACCTCGTCGACGTAGGTGCCTGTGGACTTCCTGGATGCCATCTCGGCATCCATGGTTGCCTGCCACTGAGAGGAGTAGGGACCCGTAATCGCCTCTGCGTAAGAGCGCGGGGTCGGGATGTCTGGTGCATCCGGGTCTCCCTCAGGGGCAAGCAGCATGGATAGGAAACGAGGTACAGCAGCTACAAGACACTCAAAGTCCTCCTGCTTGTCCTCAAGGACGTCCGTGCCAAGAGCACACTCACCCCCGACGGACGGAGGACTGGCAGACGTAGACTCAGCAACAAGAGCAGTGGCGTAGTCTAGACGACAGGCAGCAGCAAAGTCAACCAGCTCAGCAACGAGGGCAGACGCAGCAGAGGACTCAAAGGAAGGGTCAGTGACAGCAGTGGCAAGGAGACGAGAGACTGTGGGACTGGCAGCACGAGCGCGGTCAGACTCAGGGTCAGGGACCTCAGGAAGAGAGGACTTAGGAGGAGCAGGCAGAGGAACACGCAGCGGAACAGAGGAAGGACGAAGTCTCATAGCGTGTGTACCCGGGACAGGAGGAGGACGCAGACGAGGAACGCGACGACCAGGGCGAACAGGGGAGGCAGGACGAGACGCAGGCGCACGACGCTCTGTAAGACTGCCGGTCTGCTCAGTGTAAGGAGAGGGAGCAGGTAGTGGGGAGGCCGGCTGTAACGACGGCTGCGACTGGTCAGGCGGTGGACACAGTAAGGGAGGAGTAAGGCCAGTAGAAGACGGGACACCAAGAACCTGGTGAAGCAGGGGAACGAAGTACGGTCGCGGCCGCACAGTGCCGCCAGGGTCGACAGCTCCAACACCTCAAGCTCCAGCGCCTCCCGCGCCAGTGCCTCCAACTCCAGCTCCTCCAGCTCCAACGCCACCAGCACTAGAGCCTCCAGCTCTAGCAGCTCTAGATTCCGCAGGGTCTCCAGCTCCAGCGCCCCCAACACCACCAGTCCCGGCAGCTCCAGTACCCCGGGTACAAGCACCTCCAGGACCAGTAGCCGCAGTACCTCCAGGAA